TATTAACCGTTATAAAGAGAAAATAAAATGCCCAATGTTATTTTTACGGATGTTGAGTGAACTTTTGTCATTTGCTTGTTTGAACATATTTTGATCAGATTTGAAAATTGTATTTATTTCCTACTATATACTATTAACTTAGCATTTAATTATAAAAACCTTCCCCGTAGCAGCAAATCTAAGTTCTCGTCAAAACTAATCTCATTTAAATAGGTAACTAGTTGAACCCCGTCGAAATCGACGGTTAATCTTGAGGTTTTATGTAAATTCAGCTAACTGCGTTGGATAGAGTGAAGTCATTAAAATCTTAGTTATATGAAGGGAGGATAAGCAATAATAAGTATGACGATTGTGTTCCCTAAACAACGTGATTGATGAATTCGTTTAACACAATATTTCCTACCTTTCTTTTTATCGGCTTTAGGTTGCCCAAAAGGTTTTTTAGGAGTCTTATAATTGTTTTTTCATGAGTTTGTTTCATACCAAAGCCACTTTCACTATATGGGAGAATGAGTTCATATAATTAGTCTATTATGTTACGGAAAGAGTCAATATTTATTACTAACCACTAATTCCATCTGATTTAGGAAAATCATTCAGATTGTATCCGGATTTATAAGTAAATCTTCATTTTTTTTTTATAAAAATATCTATTTCTTCAGAAAGCAGTAACATTCTTACTTCGATCTCAGCAATTTTAAATCCTTCTCTTGCCACATCGACCCATGTATTTAATCATCCTGTTCTTACTTGATAATTCATTAACTTATGGGGTAGTTTTGCCTTGGCCATATAGATCACATAAAGCTGCGCATGTATTTCGTGGATTGGAATGAACCATAATTGTAGGAAATTTTATCACAAATCTTGAACATTAAATTTGCGGAACCAAATCCATATCCTAGTCCAGCATTGGTAACAAATTATGCAAATGCGATGAGATGTGATGACACTGTTGTGTTTCCGAATGTTTTGTATGTAGTGAGGTTTAGATGCGTTGTTCAACCTAGCTACATGTGTACATCAAAGTAAAAACTGTGTACACATTTTTTTTTAAATACCTGAATTGACATTAGTTCACCTACTTTACCAAAACCATAGACTCCGTAGTTAGTCTATTCCAAAACTTGAACACAGCTCTCATCCTCAACGTACTCATCTATGACACAATTTTCGACCCGATTATCAAAAACTGTTATACCAATAAATGAATCTCAGGCGTTCTTTCTTGAATTTAAAAATAAATGGTGATTGAAAGTAGGAAAAAAAGGCAAGTGCCAACCTTACAATATGTATAAGCTAACCCAATAAGGAATAGTTATGTTCCTTTGAAATTGATAAGTCACACTTATTTCATAATTTACAATTTTCTAAGAGCAATAAAGCATAGATTTTTTAACAAAACATTTCAAACGTATCATAAATTCATCATTTTGTTGAAACTATAAAACATTTGCCATGCAGTGGAGAATAAATTTAAAATCATAAATAATAATGTAGGTAAACATTTTGACAGTTTCAGTAGACCTTTGAATACAATTTTAATATTAACAGCTGGTTCATTAAAAGTAGTGTAAAATATTATCCATATGGTCGAAATGTAAACAAAATTGCAGAGTGAACTTTAAAGGCCTCTGGGGCAGAGCCCCAAGGAAATTTACATCGTTTCTCTTCTGAAGGCTCACCTACAGACCAATACCTTTCTTTAGACACCCCCACCAAGTTTCTACGCCCAGCCGTTCTCTCAAATTAGCTGTGACAAAAACCTCGTTTTCCTCCATTAGAATAACATGGGATGGGAATTTAAAGGCCACTGGGGCAGAGCCCCGAGGGAATTCTCCACGTTTCTCTTTTGATGGCTCATCTACAGACCAGGACCTTTCTTTAGACACCTCTACCGAGTTTCTACGCCCAGCCGTTCTCTCAAAATAGCTGTCACAAAGAAAAACAGTTTCAAATTAATATATAGATAAAGATGACATTTTTAAGGGGATATTTTAGTAAAAATCCAATCACACAAATGGCAATTCGCTTAGCCTTAGCGTGCAGGTTTGCTGCGGCGGGCCACGGGGTTTTTAATATTTTTCCAAAAGTAGATTTAAATCACTGGGGTTCATTGGTTTCGATAACATTTTCTGTATGCCAAGCACAAAAATCAATGCACCATTCTTCTAATTGATTGATAGAGGAAACCCGATGTTAGTTAAGTTAATAAACTATAAAATATGGCATTACATTAACTGTTATCAAGTCTTATACAATTATAGAGGTATGCTATTTTTAATGCAGATTTTTAAATTTTAGTATATTTTTCTGTGTCAGTAATCCATGTTTATTAACAATGGTTCTCATTTCTCAAAATGACTTGAGATGACAAGTTCGTGAACAAAATGTTGTATAGTCTAAAATAGCACCAATACTTGAGCATGATAAAATGTTATTAAATAATTTATTTTATTACATATTTCATATTGTGTATTTTATTATATCATGGAAATTTTACGTATGCAGTACTTCAGTAGGCCTAGGTTTTATTTTTTAGCTTCTCGAACAAATTAAACATTACCCCTCATACTTTTTTTAACCTAACCTAACCTAATCCTAGACTCTTAACTCCTAGAAATACATCATGGTGGAAGGAAAACACATAGGTGGGCTATTCCCGTCATAAGAAATAGTATCGATAGTGTGGGAAACACGAAACACTATCGAGTCCCGAAATAAAACTTTCGTGACGAGTATTGAACGATACTTTTTATCGCGATGAAAAAAACTACTTAATCAAACTTTAAAAATATACCTGATATTTCATAATTTATTCAATTTTCTAATCCAAGCACTTTTAATTGTTTAATCTGGTCTAAATTTAATGCAATTGTAAACTCTGTTAATAAAAATTGTATTTTAATAAATCAATTTTCTGTTATTTCAATGTTTGAGGTAGGCCTAATTGCTGATCCCCAAAGCTGAATCCCATAAGTCCAAATTGGTTTTTAGAACTGTTTTCTACATTAAAAATGTATTTTGTGTAAGTTGTTATTAAGATCGAAGAAGCCAATTAAGTTTAGTTGTTATTAAATTTAGATGTTGTCCAGATAATTATGTGCCTTCCAATTAAGCTTTGCATCTAAGTGCTTGCCCAAGTATTTTATTTCCTTTACTTGAGGGAGGTGAATATTGTTCATTGATACTGGATGACATGCCTGATTTAGGGTAAAGGTAAAAGTAATGTGTGCTGATTTATTTTCATTAATTTTAAACATCAATTTTTTAAACAAATGTAAAATTTCAGTAAATGTAAAAGTTTAGCTGTAAATTTGCTGTAACTTGAACGGGATAATAAACAGATAAAATGGCCGTATAATCCGCAAATGTGGCAACCATAATGTTTACACTTTCTGGTAGGCCGATGTATAGAGAATACAAGTATGGTCCAAGTACGCTTCCTTGGGGGAATTCCTGATTCAATGGGGCTTAAATAATTTTGATTTGTTACCAAATCAACGACTACAATCATTAACCATCACGACATTATTTAATAATAATTTCAATTACCGTATTCAATAAAATTGTAAAATTTCCCTGTATCTTATTAAATTTATAAGGAAAGTCTACTGTCTAACATAAGATTGATTGGGCGAACTCAATGTTTTCTTCCTATTTAGTCCAGCATAAAAAACTTACATACTGTACAGCAATAGCTACGTTGACTTCCTCGTCACAGATGTTAAAACAATACTGTAGTAGAGGACCAGTAAAAATACCCCCGCCGCAGCAAACCTGCAGACTTAGCGAATTTCCATTTGCCTGATTGGATTTAAACTAAAATGTCTCCTTAAAAATATCACATTTATTCCCTATCTAAACAGAATTAGTTTAATGAGTACTTAGGTTTGCTGCAACAGGGAGGGTAAAAACGTTTTTTTATGTAGAATATTAAAAGGTACTGTGGTGTAGTAAGAAATTAATGTATTTTCCAACTTCTGTCAAAATATGTTCATAAACAAGCAAACTACAACAGTTGACTTATTCTCCATAAGAATAACATGAGAATTTTAAAATTACAATTTTTTTTAATTTTCTCCGTAACAATTAGGCGCATAATAATGCTTCAATATACTAAATTATTTGTTTTTTTAAGCTCTACAAAATGGTTTAAAAAGAAATTGTGAAATTTTGTGTTTTTAGGGTCAAAAATGGGAAAACCTATTTTTACCCCATAAAATCCCCCATAAACCCCCGTTCCCATAGTCCGATCATGCTGGTTCGCGAACTCATTCAAGTTTATCCCGCCTTACACCTTCAAACCAAATTTGATCAAAATCGGACAAAAATTACTCAAGCTATCGTGCGGATGGACACACATATATATATATCTATATATAGATATAAAAAAATTTGAACGAATGGTGTTTTTGGCCTCTGGGGACATCAAAATGAAAAAGTAAATCGGTCCCGGGCTTAGGTCTTACCATGAGACCTACGGTAATAGCTACTTCCCTATAGGGAAATTCGCTAATAATACATATTTGTTCTTATCTTTGCCTGAAACCAAAATGCTGAATCATGCTTGAACCTCTAGCACCTGGAGAAGCAAAGAAACAAAACGCTAAGCGAATCGTTGTGCAACATTTTGCTTCAGGTGAAATGCTAGATCAGTGTGCGCCCAGCCTAATAATCCATTCAATCATGTCTATGTTCTGCAACCCAGGTGCCAGGTGTTTGGTGTAATTTTCCGCGAATTTGAGAATGCGATTCAAGCAAGCAGGGCAGTGGTTGTGGTTGTACGTCGACGTGGTAGGTGGCAGTGGCTTGCCCCCTCCCCCACCCCTCACTATAGCGCCGTCGTTTCGCAGGTCTTTGCGGCGCGCCTTCATCGCTTGAACGTTTCACACCTCCCTCATCCGATTCGGACATTCCCATTGGTCGGTTTCTTATCGCTCCTTCCCCTACAGTGTCCAGCGCCTCACCAACTTGCTAGTGTATCGAATCCCGGAATCCGAATCAGTCTTCGCTTAGTTCTTGTGTTGTCAACAAGTGTCTGCCGCAGTGCTTTGAAATCGACTACTGTAGGTGCTGTCAAGGTATGTGAATGTATTTAAGTAGAATATAGATTACCTACTCATTAGTACTTGTTATCATTTTTTGTTTAGTAAACCTTGGATTTTAGATTATTTAACATGGGTTCTTTGGGACTAACTTTATAACACTTCAATAACAGCTGCACTTCAACATATTTTAGCCAAACCTACCAAGGTTGTTTTGTCAAATGTTTGGGTGGTTTGGACGTAACCAATTTCAATTATATTTGACGTTAGTGATCCAACTAGGCTTGCATGGAATTTTTAGATTTTGATAAAGCTCTTTTGAAAAATGTAAATTAAATTTCCTATCTGTATTTTCGTTAAATGCTTTGGAAAGTTATTTTGCATTTCCCATAAGTGTGTTGGTTTTATTTTGTATTTCGTGGACTTGAGCTAAACAAGAGACTCTGTTTACATTATAAAACATTCAGATTTGAGTTTTGATTTGCTGGTACAATATAACTCATTTTTATATTGCGCAACAGTATATGGTTTTATGGTAAAAACACTACCCTAGACAGAATGTTTTATCTACTGTCGTGGTAAAACTATAGTACAGTTAAAAAAATACCGAAATTTGCATTTATTGCAAAATGTACGTTTTTTTTATTTTATTTGAAGAATCTGTGTTACTTTTTACAGTTGTAACAAGTATATTTGATATTGATTTACTAGTTTAACAAATATTTTAAGCCATCTTACAAGATAAAAACCTATACATTTCTCGACCGTTAACAATAATGTTTAAGCTACTCAATAAGTGTATGCCTTCTGAAATAATTACCAAGTTGGTTTGGAAACTACAATAGACCCTGTTCAAATACGACAACGACAACGGACATTCGGACAAGGTACTGCAGTGGTAATGCTACCAAAATATCGTCCACCTGACGTGGTAACATTGTTACCAAAATATCATCGGTTAACGTCGGGTATAAATTTATTTTAAGACAAGGTTACCAATGTCAATGTGACTTGCAGTCTTGTTTTATATTTCTTTGCCAACCCTATTTTCAATTGCCTTCTGCACATTAAAAGTAAAACCTTTGTAAAACATATACATTTATGAAGAGTATTCATCACTGTTGAAGGATAGTAAACCTGTTATGTGATTTGTTGTTCACAATTGACCAGCTGATTTAGCTTTAACAGCTGATTCGAAACTATGGGAAGGTTTTTGCCCTCTACGAGTTACCAAATTTATCAAGTTTTAAAAATTATGATGGTGCTGGTGTAATAAACGCGATTATAATAGTTCCGCGTATAGTTATAATGAACTATTCGTTGTACCAAAAGGGCGTGGCAGCGCGAGTCTTCAGTGCTGAAACCGTGCGTTAAAATCCCGCCAATCACAAAAGATGATTCGCAATCGCAAAGATGATTTTGATCCTTCAGTTGTCAACACAACAAGTCAAAAAAGATACACATCCTAGTCAAGGAGAATTGTGTCTGTAAAGTATCTCCTTACCGTACTCTATAAAACCAGTACGATTTTTAAGTTAACAAAAAATGGCGAGATTAAAATAACGATACAGTTCAATTAAATACGTTTACCGGTTAAGATATAATTGTTTTGTTTACATGTTCGTGTGCGTATTATGTTTTAACGGGTTTTTAGAGGTCACCGGATACGGCAACAATGCCAATAAAATACTAAAAGCGAGTAATTTCTGATTCTGAGAATCGTTAAAACTTATCTTCTTACATTCCCACGTGGAGGGATTGTGGAAAATCCCGTCCAAAGATTTAGTTACCAAGTTTATTTGCCCAACCAATTTAAAATCAAACCTTTTATTGGACCAAATCAACAATAGTCTAATAAGTTACAGTTAGCATTAGCCAAGTAAATACTAAATAAATAGGGTAAAAATAATGAAATAGTATTATAAGAATAAAATTATTGAGCGGAGCGAAGCGAAGCTCTTTGGGATCAACTTCAATGCAATCTTCATAACACTGCCAACGGGTTAACATATTTTAGCCAATCTTACCAAGGTTGTAAGTCAAATGTTTGGATGGTTTGGACGTAACCAATTTAAATTTTTGATAATGCCTATAATGTTAAAGTAACTCAACGTTTTTAAATTTTAACGTTGGCCTTATGGGTTGCCACCTTGGTTACAAAATAACTATGTAAATATAAACAATACCCCCGCCGCAGCAAAACTGCAAACTAAGCGAATTTCAACTTGTCTGATTACATTTTTACTAAAATATTTCCACAAATAAGACATATTTATTCCCTATTTCAATAACATTAGATATTTAACGAGTGCTTAGGTTTGCTGCTACGGGGAAGATAAAAAGTATTTTTTGACCATACGTCAATAGTATAGGATGAAATAAATAAATTTGCCAAATTTTATCAATATACAGGGTGTCACAAAAAAGTGTGATGGGCTATACAGGACCTAATTCTACATGCAAAAATAAGTAAAAACTTAAGAATAATTTTTTTTGGATTTCGGCTTAGTTTAGCCGTAATCCGCCATTTTGTTTTTTGGGGAAAATATTTATTATTTCAAAATCCCTTTGAGATATTTTTACGAAACTTGGTAAAATTGTTTACACTATAGTAAGTAACATTTATAAAAAAAATTATTATTTTAACTTTCCAAATTTCAAAATGGTGGCCGTTTGATTTTTTTTATGCCAAATTTCATGAAAACCGGTACCTAAATCAAAATTTTGTAAGAGACAAAAGTTTTAGTATTTATTATGACAAATCCAACAAAACAAAAATGAATAAAATCGGTTCATAAATAAAGAAGCTGTGTTTATTTTAGTATTTTGGATTGAAATTATTAATATTAAAATGTATTAAATGTAATGTAATAATTTATGTAACGTATTAAGTAATTTCAGTCTAAATTACTAAAATAAACACAGCTGCTTTATTTATGAACAGATTTTATTCATTTTTGTTTTGTTGGATTTGTCATAATAAATACTAAAACTTTTGTCTCTTACGAAATTTTGATTTAGGTACCGGTTTTCATGAAATTTGGCATTAAAAAATTCAAACGGCCGCCATTTTGAAATTTGGAAAGTTAAAATAATAATTTTTTTTATAAATATTACTTACTATAGTGTAAACAATTTTACCAAGTTTCGTAAAAATATCTCAAAAAGATTTTGAAATAATAAATATTTTCCCCAAAAAACAAAATGGCGGATTACGGCTAAACCAAGCCGAAATCAAAAAAAAATTATTCTTCATTTTTGACTTATTTTTGCATGTAGAATTAGGTCCTGTATAGCCCATCACACTTTTTTGTGACACCCTGTATATCCATAAGAAAGTAAACTACAACAATATTCATTTGCTCCATAAGAATAACATGGGAATTTTAACTAACACTATTTTTGAATTTTCTTCGTGACCGTTAGGCATACAACAGCGCTTCAATATACTAAATAATTTCTTTTTTAAGCTCTACAAAACGGTAGAAAAAGAAATTGCAAAATCTTTTGTTTTTAGGGTCAAAAATGGGAAAACCCCATTTTTACCCCATAAAACCCCCATAAACCCCCGTTCCCATTGTCCGATTATGCTGGATCGCGAACTCGTTCGAATAATCGTAGGTTTACACGTTTGTACCAAATTTCATCAAAATCGGATAATATTTGCTCGAGTTATCGCGCTAAAGGACATATATATATATGTGAATTTGAACGGATGGTGTTTTTGGCCTCTAGGGACCTCGAAATGAAAAATTAAATCGGTCCCGGGTCCAGGTCTTACCATGAGTACTACGGTAATAGCTTACTCCCTATATGGGAAATTCGCTAAAACAAAGAATCATATTATTTTATATTAGACTAATACAAAAAAAAACACACTTACTTTATTTAAATTCCTTTATCGGTAAACTTAATTACTCGTTGAACATTACGTCGTTTACAAATAAATCGGACTAAGAAATAGTTTTTTAAAAAAACCGAATTTTCTCAGTGTGCAGGTTTGCTGCGGCGGGGGTATTTTTTACGACACATTTTAACCATGATGCCACACAGTATTTCAACGCATTTTCTGTTCACCCTATAAACATAAATATTTTCGTAGTCTTAACTCTCGCCCCTCCTCCTGCCTGCGTCCATGATAAGCGTTATCTTTTCTTGCGCTCTAGGTGGCACTGGAAGTGGTGCATTGTTTAGAACTTGGTCTTATGTGATCGTTGTTTAGAACGCAATGATTCACCCTTCACAGTATGACGTCTGTTTACTTGATGCTGAGTTTGTTATTATTTCACGCCTGCTGATAAGGAATTCTGAGACAACAGTGGTACCAACGGCGTCTAAAAAAATGTTTGTACCAACATCGACACAGCAATGTCAGCTGTCTGCACTCGTCTAGCGATAGCGATTTTCCTGGAACTCGATTGTGTAACACATGTTGTTCCAGAACTTTCGGTTTGGTTCCTTTGTATATTGTTCTTTGTATGTACACATGTTTTGAATAATAATCATGTGTCTGTCAGATGCGATTTTATTTATCTCTTAAAAACTTTAAATGTTATCTATTGGGTAGGCCTACCTAGCTTGCTATTTTAACGTGTTAAATTTAAATTATATACGTGCATATTAAATTTACAGTTTCAAAGTTTTGAATATTTAAAATTGTCTATTACCAAATTTCACTGTTAGGTCCTCTGAAAAAATTTAGAAGAACATAGGCTGCCATACCTAAAAACTGAGTACGGTATCAAAATTTGGTACCTATAGACTATATGTTGAGGGTTCGTCCTACGCACCCTGTTCACGCAGTCAGATATATAAGGGAGTGTTGCACGACGTCCAAGTGCCACGACGTCCAATAATATTTTTCCAGTGCCACGACGTCCAAAACATAATTTTTTAGTTGTTGCACGACGTCCAAGTGCCACGACGTCCAAAAGTACAGTAACTGCCAAAAATATAGTCTTTCTACAAGCTTTGGACGTCGTGGCACTTGGACGTCGTGAAACAGCGCACTGTAGAATTGTAAAGAAGTATCATTT